TTTTTGAACAGTGTTTATATATGAAACACCCTGTATATATATATATACATATATACATATATCAAATACACAAACCTCAAAGTTAAAACCTTCTTTCTTAGCCATTGAAGCTAAGATTTTGCTGGAAACGGTTGATGCTAACATATATGTATTGCTCATATCAACATCAGGGTGCAAAACTTGATAAGTGTGAATCATCCACCAACCTAATAATGCACCAAGTTCATTTCCAGAGAAGACATGCCATTCCCCACTATAAAGATCGTCAAATGTATATTTTGCTATTTAACACATGAATTTATAATATGAAATTACAAACCTTTTTGTTTTCATCGCACATGCAAGTCTGTCGGCATCTGGATCATTAGCAAGTATTATAGATGAATCGCTTTTATTTGCTAACTTTATACTAAGATCGAGAGCACTTTTCCCTTCTTCTGGATTTGGAAACTTCACTGTTGGAAATTCTGGATCTGGTAGTTTCTGTTCCTCTACAATTATAAATGGCTGAAATAAATAAAACAGAATAGCTAAATAAGAAGAAATGGCTAAATAAATATCTTGTGAATTGTGTTTAGAGATGTGAGGATATTACCTTCAAGTTTGCCACCTCAAATGCAGCAGTCATATATTCATATCCGACACCATGCATGGCAGTGTATGTAAATTTCAATGTAGTATTTTTATTAACTTCAGGATATAGAACTGTTTCCTTTAAATCTTGGTAATAAAGTCGCATAATATCGTCTTTCGGATCTTCATAGTAAGAGCTATTATAGATTCCATTCCCATTCCATGAGGATTCAAGTGGTTCGAGATTGTTAAGAATATAGCTTTGAATTTTTTTATCATGAGGTGAAATAATCTGTGCTCCATTTTGCCAATAGACTTTATATCCATTGTCGTCTTTTGGATTGTGAGACGCAGTGACCATGATCCCAGCTGCGCATTTGTATTTCAATATGGTATAAGGTATAAATGGTGTGGGACAGATTTTGGAAAACAAATAAACTTTAATGCTATTGGCTATGAAAATTGCAGCAGTTAATTCAGCAAACCTGAAAATTAAATTAATCGTTAATATCACATATACAAGTTGAATTTTAATATAAATATTATATATAAATAGCCCACCTTTTACTATTATAACGCCCATCATATCCTATAACAACACCTTTCTGTGACACATCAAATATGGTATCTATCAAATATTTTGTTAATCCTTGACCAGTCTGCACAATGACTAAATCATTCATCTGGCTATAACCAGATCCCATACGGCCTCTAAGACCTGCGGTCCCAAATTCAAGTCTTTTAAGGAACAATTTTGATAATATTTTAATATGTCCATTATTTAAGTATTCAAATATCTCATCTTTTGCCTTTGGATCCTATAGTGTCAAATACAAAAATTTTTATAATTCAAATATAATCATTAGTGTAACAGATAATCATATTCTTAAATAAAATATATCCATCAAATTCATTAGAATAAATATCATACCTTATTCCATTGCAGCCATTCGATGATTTTAGTATCCAAATTGCTATTGCCTGTATTTACTGAATGTTGGGGAGCCATAATATTGACAGTATATCAAGTCAAATGCACAATTCTCAAATTTTTTTTTATACAATTAAATTTGCTGTATTAACAGAACTTTCCTCTGATAAATGTAAATGTCTTAATCACTTCCAAAGGAGGTCTCTTCCAAATTTCTGTAATAGAATACGTAATAAAAAAACGTATCATTTAAGATTAGAATAATTGTGTAATCACTGATAATTATTCTCGTATATACGATATAATAGAAGTATATGTAAAAAAACGACTCTCACCAGCATACATGCATTTACAATAATTTATCTTTCTCCATCTCTTATCTATCACTCTATTTTAAATAAAATTTTTTATGGGTAAAAAGTGGCGTAAAAAAACGTATAATAGTGTTATTATAAATTATGATTTTATACGATGAAGGTTACGATAACAGTATCATCCACAGCTTTTCGCGATACGACTTCCGTATATTTTCATCATCGCCATCGCGCGCATCCATATACCACACACACACATACATATGTAACACATATAACAGCTTATCGCTCAATTGAAAAATTTGGAAAAATATATATGTATAAATATATACCGATTTGAATTTACCTCCTATCGCAAAGAATTACATCAAATTGTCAAAGGTTTTTTTTCGTATGACGTAAACGTAAACGTTTGGATTTATCTAAATGAAAAGAGATAATATGTGGCGATCCGTTGAATGCACATCATCAGTTCCAATCACGAGATAACAAAAATATTTGCGCAATTGTGTGACAGAAACCTTGATTCTTTTTATATTAGACGATCACGTGAGGGGAGAGGGGAGAGTGCGAGATATAATTTTTCTTTTTTTTCTTTTTCTTCTGCGTCATATATTATGTCTTCTTACTTTTGAACGAATGCACACGTATCAATCACGCACACGCACATATGTATTGATGGGCGAAACAGTTTCATCGAAGAGTAGTAATTCAGAGAAATATATGAGAGAAGGGAGGAAGTGCGACTGACGATGAACCGGAGAGAGGGACAATTTAAATCTATAATAAACACAAAAATAAATGGAAAATGTAGAGAAAGTTTTTTTATATATAACTTTATTCTTGAAAAACTCAAATTAAAAAAAATAATAATATATATACCTATTCTCCAATATTTATTTCTCCTCCGTTTTTATTTCTATTCTTTCCCATGAGAGAAAAATTTGCTATATATATATACATATCTCTTTTTAAAAATAAATAAAAAGGATATGTGAATATTACAATATTTTGCAATTTACAATATGAATATAAAAAGAATCTTGATAAATTTTAAAAGAGACTCGATAATTTTAATAATATATATATATATATATAAACGCGATACGCAAATGTGCATAATTTCGGGAAGCATATATATATAATATATATAATATATGTGTGTGTGGTGTCGATGGTCATGTGTCACACACCACACACATACATGTGTGTATATATGTAAGTGCAAGCTGCAGAATGTGACAGGAGAAAAGGTCTAGGTTGTACCACCACCACGCGAGCACCGTGACACGAAACGAGTCAGCGAGATCGCGCGAGAGGGCGCGATTTGATCGAAAAAAATCCCCAGTGTTCCCGTATGCACCCGTATGTATATATTTCAGCTGTGTTGTGCCGTCCGCGGCATTGACGTTTTTGTCGCATTTTATATTAAAAATTTGGGTAAGATGCGGACGAGTGTGAATCTGTGAATCGATTTATTGGCCAACAGCCGCGGAGATGCATGTTCGCGTCTATCTCTTCTTCTTTCTCTCTCTCTCTCTCCTCGTGTCACCGATATTTCTTTGCATTTATTGCTTTTTTTTTTTACCGTGTTATCGCGCGTCCTTGTGCGATTTGCCAATCTCTGGCGACATTGCGGAATTTCGGCTGTCGCACAAAAGTCTCATCACATTTGGAGTCCCGCGTATTTTTCGACTGTGTCACAGAATTGCGTCGACATGAATGGAGCACGAAAAAACGCTGAAAAAGACGGAGATACTCAACAGGGATAAAAAATGTTACGCGGAAATCTTGTATTTTGACATATAGTAAACAACAGCTACACATTTCGTCACTCGTGTTATTTCGCAAACGCAAGCGCAGCCATCGATTTAGACATACTTATATCACAACAATTCAGCAATACGCAAGGAAATATCTCTTTGATTTTAGATTCACGTAATCGGAACGTCGAAGATAATCGAAGGCTCTCATATTTCTGTCTTTCGCGCTGAAATTCATTGATCATGAGTAGCGTACGTTGTTGCTTGATTAGCGCGGGTCGTTTAGTATCCTCTAACCATGTCAACAATCATGGTGAGTACTGTTTGTAAATAGTTCCTATATATGTATATTTTGTGTTCTATTGGACTATAAAAATGGTGAATGCTATTATTTACAAGAGTAACAAACCTAATGTGAGATTATTTGTTGCACAGTACATAAAATTGTGAGAATTGTTGTGGCCAGTAGAACTTTGACAATTAGTGGCAGCTTAGCAAAAGCTCCAACTGAACCTACGCCACCTTCCAAAGACACTACCACATCCAGCGGATCTACTAGTAACGGCACTGGTGGTGGAAAGAAGAACACACTCACCTGTCCAAAATGTGGAGATCCTTGCACTCATGTCGAGACATTTGTATGTAAGTAAAATATTGCTGCAATATAGATGATATAGATGAGAAAGATAATTGTAGTTTAGCGATCAGGCTGTTAAAATTATTGTAAATTCTTATATCTCAGCTTATAACATTAAGATTTTTGTACTTACTTTTGTAATATTAATATTATGTTCTAACACAGCGTTAAACCATTTTTGCAAATAATACAGCATCTACAAGATTTGTCAAGTGCGAGAAGTGCCATCATTTCTTTGTTGTACTGTCAGAGATTGATTCAAAAAGGAGTTTGAAAGAAGCGCTGAGACCAGAAGATGGTAAGCAAGGATTCTACAGGAAACCACCTCCACCTCCAAAAAAGGTAATTGTAATTTTGATTATTTAATTTAGAATTATGCAGATATTTTAAAAACAAAGCAAAAACAATTGGCACATTCTAAATACATATGCTTAAGCAGGACGAGAAAAAATATTTTGGAGCGATGCAAAATGATATTTTCAGATATTCGAATATCTGAATGGACATGTTGTGGGTCAAGAGTATGCCAAAAAAGTGCTAAGTGTCGCCGTTTACAATCATTACAAGAGAATTTACAACAATCTGCCAGTACAAAACTCGCAGACGCAAACCAACATTAACCCGATCAGCACGCAGGAAACGAATCATCCCTTCACTCACAGAGGTCCTAAGCCACGTAAATAGCGATGCCCCGATGTTATAAAGTTTTTTAGTGTTATGAAATTTATATTATAATAAGAATTTATTTTCTTATTGTTATGAAATCGAGGTAATTTAAAAAACCAGTTCAATATACAATTTCTAAAAACGGGATTGATAAAACAAATTGTGATTTGAAATAGTAGTATTCTCACAATTTGTTGCACTCCCCGATTCAAAAAAATTACTACGTTATATGATAAAAAATATAATATATAATTATTATAAACTTTTATTTGTTTCTTTAGATTTATTGCATATATCGGGTATCGGAAATCCATTTCCGGGTGTCGGATTTCAACACACAATCAATCCGGGAAGCGAGCAGAAGACGAGCAATCAATCTGCACCTGGATCGGCTATATTAGATAGCAAGCAGCATCAGCTGAAATTGGAAAAGAGCAATATATTGTTGCTTGGTCCTACAGGATCTGGTAAAACGTTACTTGCGCAGACAATAGCGCAATGTCTGGACGTTCCATTCGCCATCTGCGATTGTACCACTCTTACACAAGCGGGCTACGTTGGCGAGGACATTGAGAGCGTTATAGCTAAGCTTCTTCAGGACGCCAATTACGTAGTAGATCGTGCTCAAATGGGCATCGTCTTCTTGGATGAGGTCGACAAGATCGGAGCTATACCTGGAATCCACCAATTGCGAGACGTGGGCGGCGAAGGTGTGCAGCAGGGAATGCTGAAAATGTTGGAGGGAACGATCGTGAATGTACCAGAGAGGAATAGCTCGAGAAAGCTGCGTGGAGAGATGTTGCAAGTGGACACGACGAATATTCTTTTCGTTGCGTCGGGCGCTTACAGCGGCTTGGATAGGCTGATCGCGCGACGCAAATCAGAAAAATATCTCGGATTTGGCGCGACGCCCGCGGCCGAGAGCCCGGGCAGAAGAGCAGCGACTTTGGCTGATGTCGCAAATATGTCACCTTCTACCGAGAAGGACAATAAGGAGAAGGACACGTTATTGCAACAGGTTGAGGCCAGAGATCTCATCGATTTCGGCATGATACCCGAGTTCGTCGGCAGATTTCCCGTACTCGTGCCTTTTCACACTCTTGACAGGGACATGCTAGCGAGAATTCTTACCGAACCGAAGAATGCTATCGTTCCTCAGTATCAGATGTTGTTCTCAATGGATAAGGTATATTTGAATAATCCCATTTGTCCAATTAAGTCTATCTTTAAATTACAGATTAATAATTATATATAAATTATATCAATTTCCACACAGGTGGAGTTAACATTTGACATGGACGCATTGAATGCAATCGCTTCTCTGGCAATGGAAAGAAAAACGGGTGCGCGAGGTTTACGAGCGATAATGGAGTCTTTACTTTTGGAACCTATGTTTGAAGTACCAGGAAGTGATATAGTGTCCTGTCATATCACAGAACAGTGCGTAAAAGGTTCTGAAAAGCCGCAGTACACGAGACGAGACGATAGTAATGAGGATGATGTTCAGCAAGCGCAGCATGTACATAATTAACAAATAATTAAAGAATGCGCTACTTTGGTATAACTATTTCTTTTTCAATAGATAAGTGTTTAGATAGGAGAAAGTTAGGACATTTGATAAATTGTTCTATTTTCATTTTATTTTATAAAAAATATATGGTCTTTATATATCTATTATCAAAACAGTACAAACAATGCATATAAGTCTTTCAAACTGTCCTGTATATTTATATAAATTTTTGCTTTGTACAAAGTTTTAATTATTTCTTTCCTATAGTCAATTGCTATCGATTTTGGACATTATATTTGTCATAATGTTAAACATATTTCCCCTGCAAGTAATTATATACATATGTATATAAAATTATATGTATATATATATATATATATGCATATGTATGTATGCATGTACATTTATTGGCAATCATTCTATGACAAAAATACAGCTGTTGCGGAACCATAACAATATTAAAAATAGACATGAATGTTAATCATTTAAAACGATTTTAATATGATAAAAGTATTATAACAATCATAGGCCATTCATTATTGCTTATATATGGAACATGCATTATAATAAATGCCTGCTTCAACAAAAGTGTTGCATAAATAGAAGATGAATAAAATAAAGAGAATATGTAAACTTGATTTTTATTATCAACGGAAAGATATAAATATATTTTATATCGTTTTATTCATTCACATTGCAGGAAAGATCGAAAAACCACACATACTAGCATTCCACATCCAATCAAGCTTTGCATCATGTATGCATTTATTGGTGATAACATTGAAAACAAAACGGCAGCATAACATTCATTTGCCATAAATCTAACAATAGAATATATATATCATAAAAAATAATACTAATATATATATATATTTGCGAAATAATGTCATCAAAATCGATTTGACAACTTAAATGTCATACATCAGGTGCAGTGAAATAATTTCTGATCATAATTAAAATGAACTGATTAATAAGACATAAAAATATGAAATAAAGAATTACTATCAATTGAATATAATTGAAATTATTGTAAAAAACCATACAATAAAGAGTTTCAATGCAACCACTCAAACTAAATTTTCATATATTGCCAGGATTGTTTGTAAAGAGGGTATTAATGTTGTGTTGTTAAAAAAAATTTTTTTAAATCTTATAACTCGGTTAATAATAATAAATTAAGAAATAAACATTTGTTTGCTGATGATGGAAGAATATTAATCGCGAGAAAAGACGAGAAAAAAAAGAACAAAATAATAAAATACATTATTTTATGTCGAAATGTAATATAAACAAAAGTGTCTATGTAATATATTGTATATATTATTATAGATTAGCAAAAAAGAAATTGTGAATACTGTATGACTTGTATGTAATTACTAATCTATTTATAGATCGTCATACGTGATATACATCTCCTCGCTATTATAATTTACTTACTGTTTTAATTGTACAAAAAGAAGAAAGAAAAGAAAGAAAACGAAGAAAAATAGACTGTATAAAATATAATATGGAGTGACAAGAATTACATGAGTTTCTTTTCCTAAATCTTTATTTCATATGATCTGACATCCTATAATATTTAGAATATTTCTGTATTTGTAATAAATCTGTAATATGTAATTGTAATATATTTTATTTACCTCATAAATGATTTATAATATTTATATATCAACATAATATTCTAATAAAATTACATCACATATTTCATGATATATAGAAATTGATTTGGTGAAGATAATGACTATGTCATATGAAAATGACTATATTTACAAGTATTGGCCACATTCCAATCTTACTTATAATATTTAAAATTAATTTAAAATAATATTTATTTAAATATT